AAAGCAATGCCTGCTTTAAACAGACAGTGATTTATGTAAAGTTTGCATGAACAGGAAAATTTGGAAAAAAGAAGTGCTAAGGACCTCAAGAAATGCATATTATAAGCATAACATTGATCCTACCAATCTGCCTTTTCACCACGGTCCCCATAGGTAACATGGAATTGCTGCCGCACTTCTGTTCGTGCCATCTTGACATCCTTCATCCCTCTGAAGCATTTCTGCAGCCAGTAATTTGTCAAGTTTCATAATAAGTCAAAAAGAACCAGTAAACAGCAACTATGTAGCCTCAACGCGAAGTCCATAAAGGCATCCAAACATCACAGCATATTATATTACAAAAAATGTTGATCAACATCTGCAAGCTTACATCACTATCAAACACTTCCCAATTTAGGGCTTTCCATCAGCTAGTTGCCAGCAATCAGAACCAAAGCAAGATAAATGAAACCCTACCTGGATCTTTATCGCTGCTGACGTTTGCTGTCGATGCACTAACCGGCGCTTCCTATCAAGCCGTGCCTGTTCCAATAACACCTGCCGGTCACTCTCCTTCGAGCTCCGGCCACCCAAATCCACTCGTTTGCGGGTGGAGGCGTCCCCCATGAAGAACATCCCTCCCTGGATTCCAAGAAACCAGAAACAACAGAATTAGGCGATCCGGCAACATATTCCTTCGAGAAGACACGCGATAAGCATTCCAAGAAAGGGAGGATCAGATAGAATTATACCTCGGAGAAGGGATCAAACGTAGGACTGTAGCAAATCTGCGGCCGGCGAGAGATTCAGATCCAAAAAAAACAGAAACCAAAGAATTACGCGTTTCCGCAACGATTCCGGACCAAGAAATGGAGAAAAAAAAAAAGGCGAGATCCATTTCAAGACAGGGGCGACTCGATCGGATTACCTCCGATAGATCACACCTAGGGTTGTCGCAGCCTGCGCCTGGCGAAGGGACCGAAAGATTGAGATTCTTGGCGTCCGCCGCGGGAACTAGGGCGAAAAGAAAGGAGGAAGAGAACGAGAGAAGAGGGGGGCTGGGGAAGGATAGAGAGAGGGAGTGAGCGAGAAAGGAGTCGAGGCGGCCTTACAGGCGGTGGTGACGGAAAAGCGAGTCAATTGGGGGGGGAGAAGGACTTGGGATCAATGGCACCAACCAGGTTATGATATTTATATAGGGCCCTTTATCACGTATGTACATTGCATTTTGACTACCCTTTTACTATTTACAATAACATTCTAAAATAATATATATATATATATATATATATATATATTCTATAAATGCACATAAATATATTTAATGACATCAAGCGACGAGAGATGTCAAGTGACAAGCGGTATCAAAGATGGAGCGATGAGCAACCGAGCATCGATGAGCGACATTGAGTGATCGAGCAATTATAAGCGACGAGTAGCATTGAGTGACTAAACAACTAGATACATCAAGTGACAAGGAGCGTCTTGCGAACACCTCTAGTCATAGGCACCGTAGGTACCTACCTACAGAGTAATGTGAAAACTAATATGTTGGGCCGGATCCGTTTAGAATCTGAATCAAACAATGGTTTCATATCCAATATATTGGGCTAGGAATCGGGTTAAGAAACGATCCATACCGCATGGTAGAGAATCCAAGTAGATGATATGGATCAAATTCCTTAACCATTCTAGAATGCGGCCAGGAAACCTGTTGTGTCTATTTTATGGAATCACAAATTTGGGAGTTTATTAAGAAGGCAACTAATTTCCTAGAATGGCATTAAAAACCGTGCATAAGACAATCTTCCAAGAATTTGAATATAACAACTACCAGTAGTGGAATAGTAGGTAGGTCAGTAAACGGGATATGTGCATAGATAGAGAGACATGAAATTTTAGAAACTGAATTTTATGATCATAAGAAGTCTATGAGTTAACATCAATCCAAACATAAATCATCTTCTATACTCTATCATAAAAACTTCAAAGAGTTACTCACATCCAGGAAGAACTAGAGAGAAACTCAGAAAGTATTTTTCATCGTATTGTTCGAAACCAAGACTTAAAACTACATGGATGCTTACAAAAATAATCAGATCTCGATTAGTAAGATTTTTTACTTTCAAGAAAGAATCCTTTCTGTGATAATAGGATTCCTTATCCCCCTAGTACATTGGCTCAAAGCATCAAAGAATGCTTATCAACTGAAAAGAGTTTTAGTAGTGATTCATATCCAACTACTTGTGTAAGCATACGCCTGCCCCGAACAAACTATGCAATGAATATACAAATCTTGCTGGGTAAGTCATGCATCGAAAAAAACAGTTAACACATCAACATGCGAACACAGGAAAAATATTTTAAGTTTTAGATGCACACAGTAGAATGCTGTCAACCTGCACGCACTCCGGACGTGCTCTAAAATGGGAAAAAAATAAAAAAAAAAGTCATCACAGAAGGGGAGGCAACAGATTTTTGTTGAAGCCCATGCTTGGCACCCTAATCAAAATCCTGCATGTCTTCTTCGTCGTCCACCCAAAACCTTTTAAGTATATTTACTGCCATCTTATAGATGACAATGTTGTCATGTGCCACAAGCGACTCAATTTTGTTGAACCCATCACAATCACAAATCATCTGTGCATAGAGGTTTCGACCTGCGGTTATACCCAGATGCTTGTTGGCCTCACCCACCTCCAAAATTTTATCAAGACACTCCATGCAAATGGCGTTAATTGATGGGGCAGGGTAGGCAAGAAGATCACATAGTGGCTCAATGCATCCTTGGCTGACCAAAAATCTGTATAAAGGACAAGATGAAAACAATTCTAGTCATTTGTTGCATAGACATTTTATTTCGACTGCAAGGACAGGGTTTTGTTAGATTTCTATATAAAAAAAAATTGTTGATCTGCCGGCAACATTAGTTTATGTATGCGTCACACAAAAAACCAAAATAAAGAGCATGTTTTCTGACTAAGAATGAATGCAATCATGAACATAAGGAACATATGCCACACAATCAACTAATAAGCACCTATAATAGTACAGTTATGGTGGAAATTCATCAACTTGTCAGATTGACCTTCTGTAATTTTTATTTACCTACCTAATGTGTTTGACAGACAATGCACCACAACTGAAATAGTAAGAGATCAATTGTTTAAGATCAAGAATTGTTTTCACAAAGATATGATCAACTTTTGTTGTCACAGAAGACCCAAAAGCACTAAAATTGACACGAAGAGAAAGCAAAGCATACTGGATTTGGCAGTTAGAACCACCATGGATGGCATTTGATATAGCCCAGAAAGCCACTTTCTTGACAGAAAATTCTGCATGCTGCAGTAGCTGCACCAATGGACTGACAATGTTTGCATCTATGACAGCCTATAGTTTAGCAAAAAATGGAAGAAAAACAAAATGAGTGTTGCTAATGTAAAAGAACACTGTAATTAGCTCTGGCTGTTCAAATCATGAAGTTGGCAACTCATTTTCAGTAAAAAGGAACCTCTGATTTACAACAAGCATACTTCCAATTAGAAGTACTGGTGGGTAGGTTACAAAAAAATATGATTTTAGACTACAATTAGTTGTGAAGTACCTGAATCTGATTGCTATTTCCAGCAGTGATGTTTGAGATAACCCCACAAACCTCCTGTTTGATATAGTTGTCATAACTTGATGTAAGAATTTGCAGAAGGCGAGGAAGTGCTAAATTTTTTATCATGATCTGTGATTATAATTTAGGTGTTAGTTTTTCTCCATAGTAAACAATGTAAATTTAAGAACAATTCTGAGTATTAACAAACATAAATCTCAGAGAGGAGAACACGCCCCAAGAAGAAGAATAAAATGTTGCATCTGATTATTAACTTTTACAAAGAAAATTTAATGATAGGAATCATAAGGCATGTTCTTTGTGAACCTTTTTGTTTTTAAGGTATGTTCCTTGTTGAAGCTACTGAGCCGCATATGAGGCCAGGTGTGATATTAGAGCCTTGATGGGCTTCAGCACAGTATAGGCATGCTTTCATGATACTGTTATCAATAACAGTTACAGTTGCTACTAAAATCTGTATTTAGAAAAAAAGAAAAAGAAAAAAAATCCTAAAGAAGAAAAGGGGAAGAACTTGTGCCAGCAAATTACTCTAGCCACGCCAACCCCCAGAAACAATCCTGCCTCCAATGGGCATCCAGAATATGAAAGAAGATTCTTTCCATTAACGAAAGAAAAAAAAGTTACTGATTAGTGTCACAAAATTCTGTTGCACAAACCAAAAAATCATATATACCTGGGTTTGGACATCATTTCCAGTGACAATATTTCCCAATGTCCTAAGAGCAGGTACAAGAACTTTATGTGATGGATGACTGAAAGAAGTTCTTCATCAGAGGCCACAGACGATTATCAATCTAAATGAAAAACCAAAGATGTCAAATTCATCCTTACCTCAAAAGCTCAACAAGTTTTGGACAGACACCGGCCTCTATCACTGCTTGAATTCTGTCCTTACTTCCATGAGAAAGATGTGATATAGCCCAACAGGCATCCACAAGAACCTCTTCATCATTCAAGTGAATAAGTCGCTGAAGAACTGGTAGAGCAGTCTTTATCTGATAAATTTAATGAATAAACATCTTATAAGGAAATCGCTCAATGAAGGGTTTTTTTTTTTTTCAGAAATAAGGCACTTCAAATGAGTCTCAAAGATATTCAAATAGTGCTGATGGTTCCCCATGGCAAAAGTTTGATAGGGCCCATGTACAATTCCTGAGCTTTGATATTCTTAATATACATTAAATTGAGAGGGGACGGGAACCCCAACACTAAGAACAAAATCTCTACAAGTTAGTGAGTCACCAGCTATGTTAGCAAGGGCCAAAGCAGCCTGTCCAATAATAGAAAGTAATGATAGTTATTCTACATCATATTGAAAAGTTTTACTTATGCTTTGGTTCTTTAAAAAAGCCATATACAGTTTAATGGAGATTAACTTGTCTTTAAATATCATCACTTGGTGAGCTCAAATGCTGAACAAACTTTGGTACAGCACCATTATCAATGACAACTTGGGTATTTTCTAACATCCCAGAAGCTATATTGGCAAAACACCCATGCTGCCTCATGCTGCAAAAAGATATATGCACTGACCATTTCAGCTACATAATAGAAAGAAACCAGGAATCACAGAAATGATAAAACAAAAATACCTGTGGCAGTGGTGTCTCATGTCTTAAAATAAATTCCACAACCCGAGGGACAATTCCTGCCTTGACGACCTCCTCAATAGGTGCACCTTGCTCGACAAGTATATTGCATTCTTAGTTACAATCAGAAATGCTAAGTACTCCCAGGAATTATAAAGAAGAGTGTAGCCATATATAATACCATCCGACAAGAGTCTCCTGAACTGTGTTATTACTGATGACGGAACAGCTGGATCCTCATAATATGCTCCTTCAGCCATTTCAGAAAGATTATCAATCTGGAGAATAACTAAAGAATTAGTTCTCTTATAATTTGTTTCCTCAAAAAAAGAAATACAATTTAGGTTAGCAAAGATGATAAATCAATTAATTAGTACTGTTAAGTTGCTATAGATTCTCTTCGATAAGAGTCAACTAATTTCCAACCAAACAGCCCTGTTATTAACTTCGACAAATTTGACAACAACAATCTATATAACAAGCAGTATATCAACTTGTACCATCTTATATTTTTTTATATGGTTGAATGCCCAAGTGACAAGCAAAATATTGTGAAACGAAAGATAGATTAGAACCATGGTCAAATAAAATATTTGCATTTATATTAGAAACACGAATGATACCTTCGACCACTAACTTATAAACTCTGGAATCTTGTTCGGTGATAGCATATACTCTGTCATGGGATGATGATCTAGGAGACAGTGGCTCTTTCTTTTTGTTTAGAGAGCAGTCTTTTACTTTATGATCCAACTTCCCACAGGTAAAACAGGCTCTAGTCACCCGAAAAAAGAATTAAGGAATACTAACCGATACAGATGGTCATCATTGACCCCTTGTCGGACCGGTAAATATAGGATAATTAATATCACTCCAATCAATATTAGAGAAACCATGCCATGGCCTACTATGTATATGATTCCGAATCATTTAAAAATTTCCAACAATCTTCCTCAACATAAAGTTCTTATGTTGTAACTTCATTAAATTTAAAGTTTTTTAAGTTAAAGCATTTTTCTATAGCTAAAATACGTCGGCTACAGCAAAGTAAATAACATTGAAATAAGTTGCTTTGCTGTATGTGATAGTAGACAAAAAGATTCATTCTATACAGCAAGTCAATAACTGATCTCGACCCACAATTTGTTTTTCCAATTACTTTATTGCATTAGTATATAGATATCCTTCAGCTTATAATTTTAGAGTTCAACAGGTCACCCGATAGCAAGATCAAGGGGGGATAAAATGCATTGGAGTAGAAAGTTTTATGGCCCCGTAATTATTATACAGAAAAAGGAATGGTGCAAAATTTATGCGATTATTTGTTAGCTGCTACTGTATATTATTTGCAAATGGAACAAAATAACAGTTTTCAAGGGGAAAAAGTTTCTTCTCTGGAGATGGTACTTAGAAATAAAATCAGAAAAATTAGAACTAGGTTGTAAGAGGATCTTGAGGGGAAGATATGTTTATTAATAAGGAATTTCTTGGAATCTGGAACTAAATCATAAAACTTGTAATAGACATAAACAATGTTTCCCATTTGAACTTATATTGTATAGTTTAGCTGTTGTACTTCATAACAACTTCATTAAGGGGTAGTTAAAAAAAGGAAGGAGATGGTGCATGGGGCACCCGTCAATGAAATAATACAATTGCTTGATTTGCTTGGTTAACTATTGGACTGATAAGCATGGCTCATATCGTGTAGTATGGACGGTATTTTAATCTTTGCTTCCGTTAAAATATTTTTCCTTCATAAAAATATAAATATAGCAAAGAGAATTTGTCATGATCCAACTTAATGAGCTATTAACTTTGTTAATAGGATAACCTGCATGAATCAATCAGATCAAATAAAACTGATTCTGTTTTGTAAATATATATAAGATCACTTAAATACCCTTGACTATGTTTAAGAGGGTATTTATTTTAAATTTTGAAATTAGGGATACTGTGAGAAACCAAGTGGCCTCTCTCACTCAATCACTTATCTCTTTTGGTTGCGCTATTTTCCTCTGCCTCCTTATCTCTCTTTGATCGCCATTCTCTCTCCACCCCTCCTCTCACATCTGCTCTCTTCTCTTTAGTCATCGAAATGAATACGAGGAGAATGAAACAAATATTACAACAAACAAAAATAATTTAAAAAATTCAGAATATGATATGAAAATAGACTCCGGGGGTTAGAATTATCAAATTGCATTTGAGATGACTAAAAACATATACATCCAGATATACGAGAAATTCATATGAATATACATACTATTCAATTCAATTTGATATCTAAGAAGATATTCATTATGTTGGATAAACTATTCTATTTTCGGTATCATTAAATAATTTATTTTGTGTTAGATTAATATAATTTTTTTTTGTCTTATTTTATTTATTAATTTTAATATGTGTTCATTTTTATTAATTTTAAAATAAGTTTATATATTTTTAGATATTTTTAATGAAACTTGCGATCCGACCAATGGGCTTGCCTACAGTGACCTAGTGATCTAAGGCTTGGATAGGTTGCTTTTCGGTTCAGTAGGGATAATTATGGATGGGATACCTGACCTAGTAACTTTATTGAGTCTAAACTAACAAGTTAATTTATATAATATAGAATATAAACTAACAAATCTTTGCTCATCTAGGCCTAAACCAGGATGTCATAAACCTAATATAGGATTTTTCAAAAATAATTATTATATGTATATGTAAAAATAATAATCAAATTATAAAAAGTTATTATACAGTAAATAATTAAAGAACATAAATTTTTTTTTATGAAGTTAGGACATAGAAAATAATAACGTGTCAACATTCTCGACAGTTTTAGACACTTAAAAGAGAGAGAGAAAAAAACAATGCATATCCTATCCATCTGCTTGAGAAGAGTTTACCTAATTGTCCATATACACATATGACAGCAAAAATACTTACTTTTTGAATTCTAGCATGTACCAATTCTTGAGGTTTTTTATTCGTATACTGGTTATTGTCTTCAAACCCATGCATATAAGTATGTAATGTATACATGAATGCAGAAAGAAAGATTTTAATGCAGGATATACCAAAGTATGTAATGTATACTGGTTACTGTGCACTGGCACAAACAGAAGCAACAAACCGAAAAGTTCAAAACCACTCAAAATGAAGAGCGTGGAGTTCAATAGAGATCAAATCAAGATCGAGAGAGCATTGTCGAAAGCGTATGATCATCCAGAGCAAAACAGCAATATAAAAGAAGAACGAAAGATAAGGCGGCAAGAGCAAGAACCTTCATCCCGCATGCGTGGGTAGGAGGGGGGCTGAGATGGTGCGGCCCGGCCTCGCATCGTTTCTTGTTGAGGTTTTCCTCCCGTTTGCTCTTCCGGATCTCCACCAGGACATTCTCCCTCCTCCATCGGGCCTCCTCCGCGTCCACGGCCACCTTATACGACTTTTTGCGGGCCTCCGCCCGCGTCGTCGGACGGAGGGACATCGCCTCTGCCTGCTCCAATGAATTAAGGGCAGAAGACGCGGAGAGAGATAGGTTTTGATTTAAGATTTCCAAAGAGCGAGAGAGAGAGAGTTCTTCTGATCTGAGACACTCTTGGAGAGAGAGGGTGTCGTGTTCGACGTTTTGTAGGGGGACGGAGCGCGGGCAAAAACTTACTCGCTCTCCGACCCGAACGGGGAACTGCAATCCTCCGATTCGCCATCTCAACCGTCCTCGCATCCTCACCTCACATCTCAACCGTCCATCACAATCAGGTAGACGGGATTAGGATCATGTCAGCAACAAATCTTTTGAAGCGCACAAATAGATGATGGTAGATCGAAGGGGATCCAATCTAATAAGATGATGCAAAAGATGCCGATGCCGATGCCGATAAAGAAGGAAAGGGATGGGGAAGCAAGACAGCAATGGTGGGAGCAGCGGTTCACCTGGGTGGACTAGCCGGACCGCGTCGGCGCCGCCACGATCGCCGCTCCAGAAGCTTGCGGTGCCGTCCCGAGAATGGCGATCCCGTCGCGAGATTCGCTTCCTCCGCCATCGCCGCCGCCGCCGCCTTCTCGGCCATCCAAAGCTCGAAAAGGAGGCGTCACAAGAAAGGCCCGTGCTTTGGCAGTCTGTACAAGCCGGATGTGAGCTGCGAACCGTCCGATCACAACAGGGCGTGCCGTGAGTCGTCGGAGTCGTTCGGCCGATTTCGTCGGTACGATGCCCACAATGGAGTGTCAATAAATGAAATAAATTATATTCTTTTAACAAACCGTTAGGAAAATGCTTTAATGTCGTCTTTTATTAAAATACTTTTAATAAACCCCTCTCTATACGGTTTAAAGTCTTTGTCTTTTCTTTTTTTTTAAATAATGACCACCCATAAAATTAAGGTGAATTTAAAAAAATACTTATCTTTAAAATTTTCTTGTATAGCGACCCAGTTTTAAAAAAATTCACTTATTTTTTAAGATTTTTTTAAAATAATAATCATTTTACTCTTATCGGTTAACCCCCCTTCGTTCCGTCTCGGGTAGTCTCATTCCTTGATCCACGCTCGCTTCCGTGGTTGATCGTGACCCTCGTCAATTATCCACCTCTCCTTTCTTGGTTGCGTATGTCTTCGCATGCGAGCCAACAAGCAACGCCAATCACCCCATCGTTCGTCCCCCCTTCTCTTGACTATCTACATCTCCGTAAGAGGGCTTCACCTCATCGCTCGTCCCCCCTTCTCTTGACTATCTACATCTCCGTAAGAGGGCTGCGACCAATCACGACAAAGGCTAACTGGCCAAGCGACTTAGTTCGAGCATAGGCACAACTAAAGCTAAAGACTATGACTAAAATTTTTTTAAATTACAATGACAAAATTATTTTTTCACGGAACTAATATTGTTTCTTTGATCAGCATGGCAACTAATCCATTTTGAGGGAAGAAACGTCCAAGCTGCCTCTAGAACCCTGAAGGCCGGGGAATCACAGATGATTTATTTGTTGATGGCCTCTCATCTGATGTTTTGTGATATCATCGTAAAATCATAAGTTAATAATTCAGCGCAAAATTCAAGATTCAAATCTCATCTTCATCATTTATTTATATAAATCTTAAAGTTTAAAAGAGTATTTAAGTTTTGAACATATAAACAGACAAACTAATAATAGCAAGGATTTTTTGTTTTTGCTTTGTAAAAGAAAACGTATAACTAAGGATAATTCAAATACTATTTCCAGCGTCGACATCTTTTGGCTTCTAATGATCAATTTAATTATCACCGAGTCTCGAGCTCGTCGATAATGTTAATATGTCATGAAGCAGTTCAAAGAGCGAAGAATACCTCATCAGGCCCATGCAAAAAAGCATCCAGAAATCACGGGTAAAATTTGAAGAACACGACTTCACCAATTAACATGCAAAATTAACGATTCAAGAAAGCAAATAAAGTCTAAGATGTGGGTTTTTTTGTGAAGGGGATTGCCACATATCACCATCACATGAAAGCTCCTAACACCCTTGCAATTACTTCATAAATCCATCCCCCATCAGACTAAATCCAGAATACATACCATGTAAATTACCGAAAATGTGCTTCTAAAAGTCCAAACAAGTCAACTAGGGAACAGGATGATACCCCCCACTATCGCTTTGGTGGCCTCTCGTCATCGTCGTCGTCGTCGTCATCATCATCTGAATCGTCCTTGGATGACCTTCTTCTCTTGGATGACGTACCATCCTTGACAGAGCCACCGCCACCGTAACCCTGATTATTATCTCCATCGATGTCCTCATCCTCATCTGTTTCATCGCCTGGCTCGAAGTCGCTCGCATCTTCTTCATCTTCTGCACGGCCCACCGGTTTCACAAGGTACTCCGTTCCCAGTTCCTCCTGACAGGGTCCAATGACATCATACATGAACAAAAGGAGAGCAAGGTCAACAAATAACAATCACAAATTGCACCATGAGATATATTAAGAAAAATGCCACGATCATCGAAGCACATGACAATTAGAAATCCTGAACTTATCATCGCCTTTGCAAACAACGTCTATAACAAGTAAAATACCTACATTGCCTCTAGAAAAAGAAAAACAAGAACATTATTTATAGTGATAGAATTATCTTGCTTTGGTTCATGTGTTGTTCCCTGTGATGACCATCAAACTTGCTTTTATTTCACAAAAGAAGAAAAAGAGGGGGATTCCAAGTTCCCGATTCCCGATTTTAGAGTAAGAAAAAGCAGAAGTAATATCGAAGGCAGGCCTAGCAGTAAGCATATAATCAGCTAAGGAACAAATTGGAGCTCCATTAGAAAGATATTGATGAAGAGAAATAGTAGATTAATATGTACCATGGAGCATCCACATAAAGATGGTGATTAGCAGAATACTTCACAAGGAATCGTTTTGCCCTTTTCTCTTTAGAACTGATTCTTATGCAAGTAAAGATCAGGACCCATGACAATAGTGCCAGCCAATTCAGAATATGGACAAAAGAATAAGGAAAACGAGACACAGATTTAATGCAGGCCATTTTACAGGAAAAAAAAACCTTGAGAACTTGATATTTAGGCACGTTCACCCGTAAACCCTAATTTTTTTCTTTCAAAAGTGTAATTCATCGGAACAAAAGAGGATGATGTGAACATGCAGTTGAAAAAAAAAAGATATTGTGCATACTTCGACAGAAGATATAAAATTAAGATCCGAGAAGGGGAGAGAGAGGGAGATGTGATCATCAAATCGATAGTTTTCCATGTCAACAGGACTAATAGTAATTGTGCAAAGAATGGGCAAAAAAAGAAAACGAGATGCAAATAAAACTTTCCAGTGCGATGGTTGGTTCATTCTACTAACTAGCGAACAGAAAAACATGATTCCAATAAGATAATATGTTGGAAGAGACCAGTTCTTCCCGCATCAACAGATGCTCGACTCTTTTTTATTACTGCTTATGATCGACTGTTAATTGCACTAGGAATAATTCTGAAGCGGATAACGAAAACTATGAGCAATCAACATCAATGATCAAACTTACTATGAAACACCCCTATTTCTTTCTTGAAAGGCAGCATTTTTCATCTGTTAAATAACTCCAAGAAAGGGTTTCTATAACAAGATAGGCACATAGATATACAATTAGAGACAGAAAACCCAGATACTGATCATAAAGAGGTGAAGAACTTCTTGCTAGGAAATAAGAAACAGAAGAATGATCATACTAACTGCATCAAACAAGAACTCATTCTGGATATAACATATATGAACACAAGAATCAAACATGAGCGAGAAGTGACATGTTACAATATCAAACCTATCCTGAAACATAAACTAAGGTAGGCACACTCCATGATGATTTCCATCCAGCAGCAGCAAATTTTGCATCAAAAGAAAATGAACTTCACTAAATTAAAGAAAAAAACCTACAGATCTACAAGAAATAAACAAAGAATTGAACTAAATGCAGTTGCCAAGCACAGTATCCAGATCAGGTAATCAATTACTGTCAAATAATAGAAAAAAACACAAGTATCTAGTAGATCAGTTACCAAGGAAAATAGAGATATACCTCCTCTTCCTCATCGTCGTCGTCGTCGTCGTCGCTATCATCATCTCCATCGCCGCCTTCCTCCTCGTCCTCCTCTTCTACCCCTTCTTCAGCGTCATCGTCCGCGGCCTGCGCTTGGGGGCGATACCCCTTCGGCGCGACCTCCTCCGCATCATCGTCGTCGTCCCCATCATCCTCATCATCATCACCGTCGTCATCGTCATCATCATCATCATCATCCAGCTCCACGATCTCCTCCGGTTCCTCGTCGTCCTTCCTTTCCTCCTCCGCACCATCTTCATCCACATCATACACGTCAACTTTGCCGTTGATGGCCTTGATCTCTTCCTCCTTACTCTTCTTTCCCACCTCCATCTCCCTCTCCTCCTTTGGGGCAGCCGCTCCTCCCTTCATCTCGTCCCCTTCCTCCCTCTGATGCAGACCAAAAATTATCCCCAAAAATCAAAGGAAAAAGGGGATCAAAATCAGAAATCAGGGGAAGAAGAAAACAGTGGGAGGAAGGGGTTGGGTTTCGGGGACAACCGGCAACCGGCTCCAGGAACGATCTCAACCGTCCGCGCTCGGCACCTCTACGCGGATCGATGACGTGGGTACCGATCCGACCGCTGAAGAGCAGAACCCGGGGTTGTGCTTCGCTTGCTGACGTCGTCACCTCTCGGGTCTCCCCCCACTCACGTGCTCACCTCCCAGGGCTGACGTCATCGAAACACGAATAGAATTGATCGGGTTAGGGATAAGATACGCTTCAGCTGATCCATCCGCGGCGGTACGCTCACTCGCGGACCCACCTTGTTTCTCGTGGGCTCGTGGGCCCGAGAGGAGAGCAGCTGATCAAGTACACTATTCGGACTTGGGCCGACCGAGCCTCGAGCCCAACGTAATTCATCATTGACGTGGCCGGCTGGCTGACGCAGCGACACGCTTGTCTTACTGATGGTTTCTGACACGACCATAGAAATAACCATGACAAACTCACCCTTTTCACCTCAAACCATAGGAAAATAACCATTAATATCTTAAGGAGAGAGGGAGACAAGTCTCTCATCGTCTCTCCATTCTCACGTCACCGTCCCGTGTTCTCTCTCTCTCTCTCTCTATGGTCCCTTCGTTGCCTGCAAGCAGCACGTACTTATGTTTTCTGGTCAAGCTGGTGCAGTGAAACCCCAAGCGCCTACCGATCTCCGCTTGCAAATGGTTGGCCATCTCGTAGCTACTGCACTCCTCTCCACCAATGGCACCGGTGGCCACCGTCGCCATGAACTCCGCCTCGTAGCACGGGAACGGGTTCATGAGGAAGTACAAGGGATCCAAGAACTTGAGCTTGCCGGTGCTCGTGCCGTAGAACATGCTCGCCCACGACTCCAACGCCACCGGCACGACCTCCCGGCTGATCTCCGCGACGAGCGGGCTGAAGCGGAGCAGATACGGCTCGCGGCAGGTCGTCCCCTCGGGGCACACCATGAGGTCCCCTTCCTGCACCAGCTTCTTCATCCTCGCAGCGTCCTCCTCCCTGTTCCTCGTCAGCCTGACGGTCCTTATCGGGGAGAACCACTCGCTGATGGGGCTGACACTGTAGGTGGTGGCCGTGACGTGGCGGCGGAGCGCCGCAGAGATGTAGAGGGCATCGAGGAGGGTGCGGTGGTTGCAGATGTAGAGCTGGCTGCCGTCGCCTCGCCTCTCCTCCTTGTCGGAGGAGGTGATCAGCCTGGAGTGCATGCCCAGGGAGGCGAGTAGCGGGATGGAGAGGGCGTAGGGGAGGAAGAGGAAGACGAGGGCTCGGGCAAAGGCGAGGGCGAAGCCGAGGGGTAACCACAGGAACATGCAGAGGGTGGAGACGGCGTCCGGCCTGAACGCTATCCTGCCATCATGGAAGACCAAGGGCTTGGGGTACTGTGATCTTGGCAGGGGATGATGGCCTCTTCTCTTCTCAGCTTCTCCCACCAAGCATACTTCCTGTACGAAGAAGAACCATAAGCACGTAATGGATTCATACACCTCATAATTAATATGCACATATACTTCATATCGAGTGGGATATGTGATGACTGACCTTACAATGGGTAAAGAGCTGATGGTGAGCAAAATCGACATGGCCAAACCCAATAACTCCGTCCTCCATCAACCCAGTGTAGTATCCACCGAACACCTTCAGTTCCCTTCCCAACACCACCTCCACATCCAAATACTCCTTCAGGAAGCCTTCCACCATGACGGTTGGCATGGAGCTGACACAGACCCTCCTCCCTCCTCTCCGCAGCACCTCGAAGCCTTCCAACCCAACCTGCTCCAGGAAGAACTTAGGCAGCATAGCTCTCCCCACCCTGAAGTCCTCCTTCCTCAGTCCAAAGAAGCAGACCATCACCATGATCCGTATCCCCACCTCATGGCTCAGGCAAGAGATGAGAGGGTGCAGAAGCAGGAGCAGTAGACCTCTTAGGAACCCTCCTGCCTCCAATGCCACGAGCATGAAGTAAGGGAAGGTGGAGGAAGTCCTAAGAAGCGCTCCCTCCACATCACAAACTACGGTTTGGCTGGGGAGGCTCTCTAGAGAAGGGTACCTCTGCGATCTCCCATGGTTTGTGTGACAGGTACTTGGCCTCCTTGGCAGAAGGAACCTACACAAAAGGAGGAAGGATTTGAAGAAGTCCTTCAACCTCATACTCTTTACACTAAATGGGTACGATGGTTTGGATATATATATAGAGTTTTGATTGGTCTTGCTCCAAGGTTTCAGCCCACCCTTAACCTGTTTGATCTTTGGTCACAGCCATGGCCACCACACAATTGGTGGATGAAGCGACTCCGATGAGCGTGCCCATTGGTTCGGCGACGCCTGCAAGGACACATCCAAGCCTCGTAAGCAAGCACGTGCGGAAGTCATCAAGTCTATACATGCACATGCTTTGAGTACGTGTGGAACCATTAATTCATGTACTTCGAACAGATCCAAAGATCGAAAAGGTTACGATAACCTAACCCACAGCCGATGTCGATCGAAGGTGACGAGGCATCACGCTCCATCTTATGCCCCACATCTTAATTAAGCCGGAGCAGCAGGCGACCGGTGACAGAAGAACTGTTGAGATCTGTCCATTACGAGTCTCATCAATGGCTTCCGACTAATACATCAAGTTCCGTGTAAACGAAGCCAAGATTTGGCTACGACTAATCTCCACACACTGTGCGTTCATGTGTTGCAGGTGGTTTCAATCACTGAAATGTACCATTACAGATGCACACAAACTTCATTCATGTCGTTTGTCTTCTTCCATCACTTGTATCTTTTTCTTCCATTCATTGCGTGCTGACTCTTATTGTCTTATAATCTCTGACTATACCAACACTATAAAGAAGTACACTCCATAGAGAGCTCTAGTACTCGAGTTCTTGGTGTAACTGGCAAGTTTCCATTTCCAAGAAGCTATGTTCTACTGGGCTCAATCAAAGCTACCTGTATTACTGTAGAAGAACAGAGGACATATAGGTTGGGCCTTGGCATCAGATATGAAACTTTCCTACCTTGCAGCTTCATGTTAATTTTCCTAGAATTTGGCTCTACAGTTTCAGATCAATGATCAAGTGTTTTTGGGGACACAACTCTCATAATATATTGAAGCAGGCTACAACATGTAATCCAGCTAGCAGAGATGTTGGATGTCATCTCTTGAATCTTGACTTGTATAACAATGGAAGGACTATGTATACAAAATCTGATCCCTTCTATCCCAAAACAAAATTTTCTTCTGACTCTGATTTTTGTTCTAATTGCAAGTGGAAAAGCTACAGATGGACTTTGGGCTAGTCTGAAGACTACAACCACCTACCATCTACCATATTAAAATCAACGGCAAAGAACATCAAAACTTCTCGGTATTTAATTAGCAGGAAAAAGACATTAAAATTGAAGCCATATAGTCCATGAAGACATCAAGTACACAGCTGTCAGTCACATTTCAAGGGCTGCAATGTCATGTTCATTATCAAGTGTAAACATAATAAATTAGCATTAAGTCTCCTACTGTACAAATCACAATAGATGAACATAAAACCATTTCTCTACCTCCTCAGAAACTTTTATCTTGTGAAAGGTTGGCTGGAACAGGTCAGACTGTGGTGTTTTAGGTCAAATATATATGCTTGTGAAAGAGTGGTTGGCTTTCTGAACTTGAAGGAGATAGTGGAAGACCAAAGAAAGAAGAAAGTAAGCAATAATGTTGTAGAAATTAAGCTGATGTAGACATGCTGAGATCAATTCAATGGAGAACTTTGATGTGGAACTGGCATCTGAAGGTTGAAGATTTCAGCTATCAAGTTTGTACAGAAATGTTAGTCCACATGGGTTGATACAGAAGGATTATCTACATTGGCAACAAATGAATGTGTATCACATGCATTAGTCCCTAATATATGTATTCATGGCACTGCAAGCATGCAGTCAATGTCATGGCAATCCCCATTAAAATGGCTGCAGGAAATTTTCAAAAATGGAAGTCAATCAGTTGCAGTTGTTGAAAAATAAGGAGCTAACATTGACTGGGGCAAGCACAAAGCACAACCCACACCTACATGTATAATTCATTTTGGGGCATTTGGTTGCCTCCAGCAACAACAAATGACAAATAGCACTTCATATAATTGTTTATATATATATATATATATATATATATATATTGCTAATCACAATTTTATTTAAGATAGAGAGGATACATAAATCCAATTTTAACTTACAAGCTAATCCACAAGTGCAATATGCAGCCTTTTATTGTGCAAATTCACTTGCAACATAAAAAAAGGTCTAGTTGCATTTACATATACTATAGGTGGCTTAGTTATATGCAAATTAAATTATTTGTTGTAAAATGACATACAGACAGTCCACCTATGAATTACCAAATGCTTTGCTGTCGATCAATATCTTTCCTTTGTGATTGTGATGACCCTTACTATATACCTACATAAAATCACTGTTGCGCAAAGAAGAATTTGATTATTTCTTTCACCTACAACTTCTTAGGCTTGCCTAAGTGTTCATGATCATCTACATTCTAAAAATTGTTCTTGAAACCTTTTCATGTGTTGAGTATATGGTCTTTTGTATTAGGATTAATCTAGTTAACTATGAGCCATCAATGTGGCTATGAGATTGAGGTTGAAGTGTTGAAAGATACAAGGTACCTGCAATGGAGTCATAATCATGTTGAAAGCAATGCTTATCTCACCATCTTTTTCTAGTCTTTTTTAAGTGTCATCAAATCATAATATAAAGCATCATCTAAAAATCACAGACAACCTTCTTTGTGCCAGAAAACGAGTGTCTATTGTACTTGATTACTTGTAAACTGACGCAACAGATTTTGTTGATACACATGGCTCAGTTTAACTGTGTTCAACACACATGATTTCCTCGCATTACACAACCGAAAGCTAATTTTATACAAACCTACTAGTAATTGTGCATTAAGACAAAATTTTACATTTACTAATTTATGATTTTTTTTCTTCTAAATTTGCAATGCTTGATTCATGTGTGTTTTTACCTTAGTCCACATTGACACTACTATAAAGCTGAGTCTTGTGATAAGGTAAGTTGGTTCTTTTGTGACAGGTCGGACTACAAAATTAGTTTCTCTACTGTTTTAGAACATGAATTTAATATATTTTTCTTGAAGGAGGATGTGTATGAAATGAAAAAAAATACTGTCATTTAAAAGGTTTTTACAATATATGTTTTGATTGAACATTTTCCTTTGTCCTCTTTTCCAATATTCACTTACTCAAGACATAAGACATGTTCATTTACCAAAATGTTGTAGACAAAACAGTCTAGGAAACACACTTGCATGTTATACTCGTTTGATGAAAATAAACGAGGAAACAATGATCCTATTAAAAAAATGTTGTGGATTTTATATAATTAATAATGAAGAAATAATATCTGTAGGATGTGTGTGGACTTAATCTGTCCAGGAAACAAACCTGTCTGTCGCAATGATTTCTGTCATAAGATCCAGAAATGAGCTTAAAGGCAGTATAGTAATGAAGCGTACCTGTAGGTTCTTGACAATTCCAAGTGGCAATCAGCCTGAAAGCAATTAATTGCCACAACTTATCACTGTGATGACCCAGGTTTTGTTCGTCTTCTTCCTTGGTGCCAAACTGAGCTGATCTCTTCTGATATGTCATATATTTCTGTTGCATTCTCCAACATAGAATTTGTGAACGATCCCATGAACACCCCAATGGAGCTGCAACCTAAAATCTTCTTGAGACCCCTTAATTTAAGCATTCGTGTCCTTCTAGCATCATCCTGTCTCCCTCTAGCAGCATAGATGTTCGACAACAGCACATAAACACCACCATCATCAGGCCTAAGCTCAACAAGGCGATCGAACGCGTATTCCCCTAGCTTGGCATTCCCGTGGATCAAGCATGCACTGAGCAGACTCCCCCACAGCACAGCGTTGTCTCTTCTGACAAGGTGATGACCCAGGTTTTGCTCGTCTTCTTCCTTGGTGCCAAACTGAGCTGATCTCTTCTGACATGTCATATATTTCTGTTGCATTCTCCAATGTAGAATTCATGAACAATCCCATGAACATCCCAGTGGAGCTGCAACCTAAAATCTTCTTGAGACCCCTTAACTTCATAAGCATTCGTGTCTTTCTAGCATCATCCCACCTCCCTCTAGCAGCATAGATGTTCGACAACAGCACAAAGACACCACCATCATCGGGCCTAAGCTCAACAAGGCGATCAACCACGTATTCCCCTAGCTTGGCATTCCCGTGGATCAAACATGCACTGAGCAGACTCCCGCACAGCACAGCATTGTCGTTCGCCATGGACTGCACCAGAAAAACAGCCTCCTCCAAGAATCCAGCTCGCCCCAGCACATCAACCATACAACCACAGTGCTCGATTTGTGGCTTGAGCCCATAAACCGCCCTCATTGAATCAAAGCACTGCCTTGCTTGCTCCACCAGACCACCATGGCTGCAAGCGTACAGGACACCAATGAAAGTGACCTCATTAGGCTTCACGGCGTCCCTCTCCATCTGGCCAAATAGCTCCAAGGCCTCCGCTCCATGTCCATTTATCGCTAGCCCTCCTATCATCACTAGCCCTCCTATCATCGCTAGCACTCCATATTCTGGTTGGGCATCTTGTCGAAGAGCTCCCTGGCAGCGTCCGTATCACCTGACTTCATGTGCCCATTAATCATCGCATTCCATGTAATTATTCCCCTTACGGGCATTTCATCAAATAGGCATCTTGCACGATCCATAAGACCGCAGATCACGTAACCCGAGAGCATACAAGTCCACGAGGCGACATCCCGCTCCTGGCTCAAATCAAACACCCGGCGCCCCAGGTCGTACCTTGGGCACGCGCAGTACATGTAGATCAATCCATTGGTCGAGAAGCTGTCACGGTCGACCGCCCACTTGATCATGAGGCCATGCAGCAACTCGCCGGCCTCGCGCGCGGCGACGCGGGCGCAGGCCTTGAGGAGGGAAGGGAAGGTGCGGGCGCTCGGCCTAGCGCCGGAGGAGAGCATGCGGCGAAAGAGAGCGAGGGACGAGGCGGGGGAAGGGGAGTCGGCCAAGCCACCAAGGATGCAGTTCCAGGCAAAGGTGGTCGGGTGGGGGATTTCAGATAACAGTTTGCGGGCGTAATGAGTGCCACCG